ATGCTGCTTGGGATGAGGTGAATGCTCTGGAGGCGGAGAATAGGACCCTCAAGCAATCTAATGAGGAGCTGGAGGGCAGGATACCTCAGCTGAATGAGAGTATCATCAAGGCACGCATTGACAAGACCGCAGGGGAGTGGTGGTCTGTTGTAGCCAATAAGGCAGGGAACCCTACGGTATGGTGATCGTTCATCAGAGGCCCAATATGAACATGTTTAGGCGGATACGCTGTCACCTAAAGAGCTGATAGCAGCACTGAAACCCACTGGAGACGTTTTGGATAGTGTTAAGAAGTGTGGTGCGTTGACCAGTGCTGATGTAATGTTGACAGGTGGGTCGGTCTAGTTTGAACGGCTCAGGTACTCGGCTTCCTGCACGCATGTGGTGAAGAAAGCACGATTGGTCTCACGCAGATCTGGACTGACTCTATGAAAGAGGGCCAGCAGCCAGTCGGAGACGAAGAAGATGTTAAGGCTTGGTGGAATGCATTGTTCCAATGGAGGGCTGAGATACAACAGCAGCAGCAGCAGGAGGCGTAGAGGAGTGTCTTAAGGGGACAGCATGAGATACATGGTGGAGGATTTCCCGACTGGTTCGTTGTGTTAATATATAGTCCCCAACTTGAAGATGGCAACCTCAAGGGGATATGCACCATTGCATACCTAGAAGATTGGGAACGACTACGACTGCCATTAGGAAGTACTAAGCTATCTGTTCATAGTAGTCCACTGTAAGCAAATAGCTTCTTCGCGAACTACAGTGTAGTGGCTGATCCATTACAATCAAGGTTAACCATGCCCATCATGTAAAGGGGTCTATTGGAAGTCGCTGTTTGCAGCGTAGAGCGGACACCATTCAAATCCTCAACTGGGTCAACCCAATAGCAATTTAACGATTATCACAAGCGAATGATGTTATTGGTGGAGGCTACGGTCAAATTTTGTTAGGGATCAGTTAGTTCCAAGCTGATACGAACCTGATTGTATTTTGAAACACTACGTCAAAAGCGATGGGCAGAGACACCTCAAACGACGCGCGAAGGATTGGAGGATGAAACGTTTCGGTTATGCATTCAAAATTTGTTGGAATCGTATGGTGAGAGGACAAAAGCCAAGGAGTGTCAAGGAGGAAACCGATCTTGATATGAACGGAATCGGGACTGATGATGGTGGCATCAATTTTCTTGATGTGGAACTGTTGCATCAATTTGGCAAGCATAGGATCGTAGTTAGAGAACTCGATATCATCACCATCAACGGTGTAATCAGCGCCAGCAGACATACCCATCACATTGATGGTAGCGCGGCCATTAGAGGCAAAGTCAACAGTGAAACTCTGGCCCATCATGCTACCGCAGTAATGACCACCGAATGCAGGAGAAGCAGCAGTAGTAGTGGTCGCTTTAGTGGTCGTCGTAGTCGTAGTGGTTGCTCTAGTTGTGGTAGTAGTCGTAGTGGTGGCTTTAGGAGTGGTGGCAGTAGTCGTAGTGGTCGCTCTAGTTGTGGTAGCAGTAGTCGTAGTTGTCACTCTAGTTGTGGTAGCAGTAGTCGTAGTGATAGGACCGACGGTGTTAGTGGTGGTCTCCACAGGGGTGGTTGTCACGGCCTGAGCGGTAGTCGTTGGAGCAGCCGTGGTATTAACCTCAGTAGCGGTAGTCGCAATAGAAGCACTAGTAGTAGACGCTGACTTGGTTGCGGGAACCGCTGTGGCGAGAGGAGATTCAGTGGGCTCATGCGGTGGTCACATGACCCATGGAACAGGGTACGGCCTCGCCGACGCAGCTAACATCACCAGGCTG